GGGCCCCCCCTTTCCCCCCCGAGTGCACAAATTTTTGTGCACCGGGCCTCTAGTACTTAAATAAAAATAAATTTAAAAAGAAGCCTAGTGAACCTCCTGAAAATATAATAATAGTAATAATAATGAATTCCAAGTCTAGACTCATGGAAATGAATTAGAAAAATAAATATGAAAAAAAATTATGTTAAAAACAGTCAGAGATTAAAATATAATTATAAAAACATAATTAGACTGATAGCTGATTTCACAATAGCAAGAGGTAGGTCAGAAGACATTTGAATATTATATTCAAAGTTCTGAGAAATTATAACTTAGCCTAGAACACAATGAAACTCGGGAATGAGAGTGAGAAAAGGCTTTCAGAGAAAACATTCAAAATTAAGCAATGACTTTACTGCACCAGAATGTTTGGCTCTACAAAATGAACTATATAAACGTGAACATTAGAAAGTGACAAAATGAACTCAACAAGGACAGATATGCAAAAGGTAATAATAAAGACAATGGAAAATACATGGGTATGTCTAAATATATTAATTGAGAATGAGTGTGTAATGCAGTGATGGCGAACCTTTTGAGCTCGGTGTGTCAGCATTTTGAAAAACCCTAACTTAACTCTGGTGCCGTGTCACATATAGAACTTTTTTGATATTTGCAACCATAGTTAAACAAAGACTTACATTTTTGATATTTATTTTATATATTTCAATGCCATTTAACAAAGAAAAATCAACCAAAAAAATGAGTTCATTTGTCACCTCTGACACGCATGTCATAGGTTCGCCATCACTGGTGTAATGCAACCAAAATTTGCATTGCTGAGAGATAGAAATTCATGCAATTACTTTAGAAACAGTTTGGCATTATCCAGTTGAAGTTGTGCATACTTTATGACCAAGCAGTTTCACTACTAGATACGACAGGAGAAATGTTGAAACAAATAAACAAAACCTCAAACCGAATCTACTTAAAAAACCATTAAAGGCTGAAAATGTAATATAGTCATATAGTGAAATATTATACAACAGTCAAAATAACTTACTATAAGAACACACATGACCATGGATGGATTAATACACAATGTTGAATAAAAAATGCAGATGATTAAATACAGAATGATTCCATTCATCTAAAGTTCAAATCTAAAAAGCGTTTCATTTAGAAAGGACCTACATAGGCCCTGGCCAGTGTGGCTCAGTTGGAGCATCGTCCTTATACCTAAAGGTTGTAGGTTCGATTCCACATACTTAGCCTTGGGTTCAATCCCTAGTTGGGGCACATGAAGAAGGCAATCAACTGATTCTCTATCTCTATCTCTATCTCTATCTCTATCTCTATCTCTATCTCTATCTATCTCTCTATCTCTATCTCTATCTCTATCTCTATCTCTATCTCTATCTCTATCTCTATCTCTATCTCTATCTCTATCTCTATCTCTATCTCTATCTCTATCTCTATCTCTATCTCTATCTCTATCTCTATCTCTATCTCTATCTCTATCTCTATCTCTATCTCTATCTCTATCTCTATCTCTATCTCTATCTCTATCTCTATCTCTATCTCTATCTCTATCTCTATCTCTATCTCTATCTCTATCTCTATCTCTATCTCTATCTCTATCTCTATCTCTATCTCTATCTCTATCTCTATCTCTATCTATCGTTATCTCTAATCTCTCTCCCCCTCTAAAATAAAAAAGCATATCATCTGGTGGGGATTAAAAAAGTAAAAGTAACTGAGCACTTTTCAGATGTCTCTTGGCCACAATATGTTTCCTTTGGAGAAGTGTCCATTAAGGTCCTTTGCCAGTTTTTTAATTGGATTATTTATCTTACTTTTGTCAAGTTGTATGAGTTCCTTATATATTTTGGAAATGAATCCCTTATCAGATGTACCATTGACAAATATGTTCTCCCATACAGTGGGCTTCCTTTACATTTTGTTGGTGGTTTCATTTGCTGTGCAGAAGCTTTTTATTTTGATGTAGTCTCATTGGTTTATTTTCTCTTTAGTTTCCCTTGCCCTAGGAGATGTATCCACAAATATATGACTACAAGAGATGTCTGAGATTTTGTTGCCTATGGGTTTCTTCTAAGATTTTTATGGTTTCACAACTTATATTTAAGTCTTTTATCCATATTAAATTTATTCTTGTGTGTGTGTTGTAAGTCTCATTTCTTTTCTTTCTTTTTTTTTTTTTTTTTTTTTTTTTGAACCTGCCTGATTCCCCCAACACCATTTGTTGAAGACACTGTCATTACTACATTGTTTGCTCTTGCCTTCTTTGTCAAATATTAATTGAACATAATGGCTTGGGTCAATTTCTGGGTTCTTTGCCCTGTTCCATTGATCTATATGCCTGTTCTTGTGCCAGTAACGGGCTGTTTTGATTACAGTGGCTTTGTAGTATAACTTGATATATAGTATTGTGATCACTCCAACTTTGTTCTTCTTTCTCATGATTGCTGCAGCTATTCAAGGTCTATTTGGTTCCATATAAATTTTTGGAGTGTTTGTTCTAGATCTGTGAAATATGCCACTGGTATTTTAATGGGGATTGCATTGAATCTATAGCTTGCCTTGGGTAGTATAGACATTTTGATGATGTTGATTCTACCAATACATGAACACAGTATGTTCTTCCACTTGTTTATATCCTCCAAATCAAAAATGTTCAAAGTCACTTATCATCAAAGAGATGCAAATATAAAACGACAATGAGGTATCACCTCACACCTGTCAGAATGGCTGTCATCAACAAATCAACAAATGAAAAGTGCTGACAAGGATGTGGATAAAAGGAAACCCTAGTACACTGCTGGTGGGAATGCAAACTAGTCCAGCCACTATGGAAACTGTATGGTGTTTTCTTAAAAAATTAAAAATGGAAGTCCCAGTAAACCCACTTCTAGGAATATATCCTAAGAAACATGAAACACCAATCAGAAAGAATGTATGCACCCCTATGTTCATAGCAGCACAATTTACAATAGCTAAGATCTGGAAACAGTCCAAGTGCCCATCAGCAGATGAGTGGATAAAAAAACTGTGGTTCATTTACACCATGGAATACTATGCAGCAGTAAAAAAAGAAGGATCCTCTTACCTTTTGAGACAGCATGGAAGGACAAGGAGAGTATTATGCTAAGTGAAATAAGCCAGTCAGAGAAAAATAAGTATCACATGATCTCACTCATGTATGGAATCTAATGAACAAAATAAACTGATAAACAAAATAGATCCAGAGATATGGAAGCATGGAGCAAAGTAAGGAATCTCAGAGGGAATGTGGGGGTGAAGGGATAGGGAGGGAGAGAGATTAACCAGGGAATTTAGAGGCACATATGTATAGCCTAAAGACAATAAGGTGGTGAAGGCCTGGGAGGGGAGGTTACGGAATGGAGGAGCTCAATGGGAAAAAAAGGAGCACATCTATAATACTTTCAACAATAACGATAAATTTTAAAAATAAGAAATAAAAGGACTTACATGTTGCTCATGATATACAGTTATTATTCTAAGTACCTCACAATATTAACATAGTTAATGACATAATGATGTAAAAAATGTTGTAAAAATTTTTGATATATATGCAAATGAGCTAAATGAGTGATAATCTCTATCATAAACTTATGCTCTGGGACTGTAATGAAAAATTTTCCTTATCCACTAGTCTATAAACTATTTTATTGTAGTGATTGCATATTTGACTTTAAATCTATTGCACCTACTATATACTTGACATACGGATGTTATTAACAAATGTTTATTAAATAATTTACTATACAAGTTAACTTCTATAAATTTCTTCTAAATTCTGTAATTTCAGAAATTATTTCTTTGATTTTTTCAATACTTCTAAATGAATACTTCTGGTGTGGGTCTCTTTGCAACTTTGAATCTTGAATATGTGAGGATGTGTGAAACAAAGATGAGGAGATATTAGATTCATTGTAGCAGTGGAAGAACAAAGTTCATTTACATGGTGGACTAGAAGGTTTAATCAGACCTAGACTCTAGTTCCTAATCCAGATTCTGGACTCCCTTGGTTCCTGCTGATATTCTAAGCCCTGTTCTTAGGCCTCCTATCTATTCAGTGTTCTCTGAATAGTTTTTTAGTAATTCCCATCTGCACCTTCTCCTGTTTTTATAATCAAAGACTAGAGGCCCGGTGCATGAAATTCATGCACGGGGCGTGTATGTGTCCCTCAGCCCAGCCTGCACCCTCTCCAATCTGGGACCCCTCGAGGGATGTCCAACTGCCCGTTTAGGCCTGATCCAGGTGGGATTGGGCCTAAACAAGGAGTCGGACATCCCTCTCATAATTCAGGACTGCTGGCTCCCAACTGCTCGCCTGCCTGCCTACCTGCCTGATTGCCCCTAATTGCTTCTGCCTGCCAGCCTGATCACCCCCTAATCACTCCCCTGCCAGCCTGATCGATGCCTAACTGCTCCCCTGCCGGCCCGATCTCCCCTAACTGCCCTCCCCTGAAGGCCTGCTCACCCCTAACTGCACTCCCCTGCCGGCCTGGTCACCCCCAACTGCCCTCCCCTGCAGGCCTGGTTGCCCCCAACTGCCCTCCCCTGCAGGCCTGATCCCCCTCAAGTGCACTCCCCTGCAGTCCTGGTCCCCCCTAACTGCTCTCCCCTGCTGGCCCGATCACCCCAACTGCCCTCCCCTGCAGGCCTGGGTTCCCCCAACTGCCCTCCCCTGCTGGCCATCTTGTGTCCACATGGGGGTGGCCATCATGTGTGTTGGAGTCATGGTCAATTTGCATATTACTCTTTTGTTAGATAGGATATCCAGACTTATTTGCCATCGCTAAGACCAAGAACCCCATCTTATATGCTTACATAAGGAACTTCAGGAGATTAACAAATACTATCAAATATTTTTTATTATTTTGAATATGAAGCATAGTTAGAAAAGCTTATTGTGTAAAGTCTGTAAAGAAATGAAATATCTGCTAAATGACACCTGAATATTCTTTCTTATCCAGGTAATTTGCCAGTGGACCTTCCAACTCCACCAGAAACTTCAATTCCAGTAACATTACCTCCACACAACTGCACAGACGGTGAATTTGTCTGCAGATCCAATGGTCACTGTGTTGAAGAAATCCAAAAATGTGATTTTAGATATGACTGCCCTGACAAATCCGATGAATCATTTTGTGGTAAGTAAATTATTATTTTTAATTAAATGTAGCCATAAAACAGATAAAGAAATTCCAGCATAATTGCTAAGTAGCGTGGCCTAGTGTCCTAGTTAGAAATTTTCAACTGGCTTGAGCCATTTCTTTATATAAAAGCTATTTGTATAGAAAATTATAATAAAAGAATTAGCATACATTCTTCTCTCATGCCCAATAAGAGGAAAGTGGCTTTAAATTTATGTTTTGGATTCAAAACACTTTTTTTCATGGACATTACTTGATTATAAGACTATTATATACTAGCTCTTTTCTATCCACCCCCTGGTTGGCCTCTCTATTCTACTCACACTCATGAAATAGTAGCGTTTAAGGGGGAAGCATTATAAAACCCCGAATTTGTTCAAATTTTCCCATTTCTGAAATGCACATAGAAAGTGATTGCTATGTCAAATATTCAGAGTTCATAAGAAACTGATTCTAATACAGATTGGCCCTTCAACACCTGTGTCCTACTGAAAGATTATTTTCATTTACTGACATCTGCCAATCCACAGATTTTCCAAAGTGGGTCAAAGGAAAATTATTAATTTAAAAGTGAACTTCTCAGCCAAATATACAGTTGGAGAGAAGAAAAAATAATCTTTCTTAATGGGCAAAGTACAAGATCAAGAGGAGTGAACTTTGTGATATTTTCCTCTCCCTGTGTTTCATTTAATAATATGTGAACTTACTGTACTATCATAGTTCTCAAAAGTCCTGAAATTATGAAAAGATCAGAACATATAGATAATACAGAATCTAGTGAAACCCTAATTTGTTGCCTTTTGTCAACCTTGTTAAGAAATTCTAGAACTTAAAAAAAAAAAGGTTCATATTTATTCTTTTAACCTAGGAAAAAATGCTTGTTTATGAAATAATTAATTTATTAATCCTAACTTAAAAAACTCATAAAATCAAAGCTAACTTACTATTCTGTGAATCAGATGGGACAGTAATTAACTCAAGTGGCTAGAGATACATCCTGTGCATCACAGATGGAAAATAATATAATGGAAGAGATGATGGTACTCAGACTTTATCATGGGAAGACACTAAAATCCTCTTATGATGATATATAAGTTGTGTGTTTGTAAAATTGACATAAAATCTAATTAATTATACCTAATTAATGTCTTTAGTATATGCTGACTTTCCTCTTAGTTCAATTTTGCAATTTTAGTAATGAAATTTATGATTGGATGGAAAGTTTTGATAAATTCTTTAAATGTCCTGAATGAATGCCTACTATTAAATTATTATTTTTTAATCACAGAGATATTTATTTACTTTGAATAAACATTAATTGAATTATTACCATTTTATTTCTGAGTGAATTGTGTGATGTTGCCTCTTCCATCTCTTTGTAAGATGAAATATGATAAATATGTCACCTACAGTCTTACATTTTCTACTGTTTTATTGTTATAAGAATATAATGAGATCTACCATTTTAACAAATATAGTTTTTTTTAATTCATTGATTTTAGAGAGAGAGGAAGGGAGAGAGAGAAACACATCTATTTGTTGTTCCACTTATTATGCATTCATTGGTTGCTTCTTGTATGTGCCCTGCTGGGGGATTGAACCCACAACCTTGCCACATCAGGATGATGCTCTAATCAACTGAGTTACTAACAATTTTTTAAGTGTACAAAACATTATTGTTGAATATAGGTACAATGTTGTACAGCATATCTATGGAGTTTATTCCTCTTGCTTGTCTGAAACTTTGTCTTCAAAACATTTTTTAAAAATCTGTAATTCTTATCTTTTTTAATGATATGAAGAATCTTTGCACAAGATAAATATAATATGATCAATATTAATATAAGGGATTAAGCAACATACCTGAATGTCAACATTAAAAATAACTTTTTTTGATGGAGTGTTTCTATCTCAGTTTTTACATTAAATCTTGAACACAGTTTGTAAATAGTGTAATGGTATATCATCATTGTTTATGCCATTTAAAAGCTGGAGTGCACACCAGGCTTTTTATAGTGTATGCGAAAGCACATTGAATTGAATCTTTTATTTAATCAGTGGAGGAATTAAGATTGACAGACACATGAAAAGAGAGGGGGGGGGGAGGATTTTCATACACAACCTATGTATTAAAAAAAAAAAAGAGGACTTGTGCCCAGCCAGTGTTGCTCAGTTGAACTAAGATATCAGTTCACCAGTTCAATTCCCAGTCATGGCATCTATCGATGTTTTTCTCTCATTGATGTTTCTCTTCCTCTCCTTTCCTTCTGCCCCTCTCTCTTAAAATCAGTAGAAACATATTTAAATACTAGAGGCCCAGTGCACGAAATTCATGCATGGGGGGGGGGCATCCCTCAGCCTGGCCTGCACCCTCTCCCAATCCGGAAACCCTCAGGGGATGTCTGCTTGCCGGTTTAGGCCCAATCTCGCTGGCTCCTAATCACTTGCCTGCCTGCCTGGCCCCTAACTGCTTCTGCCTTGGCCCCCGCCACCACGGCTTTGTCAGGAAGGATGTCTGGAATGACATCCGGAAGGTCGTTCAGCTGTCTGGTCTAACTAGCATATTAGGCTTTTATTATTATAGATAAAAAATAAAAAATGGACTTGTAATTTTGTGTAATATTAGAATATAGTCATTATAAGAATATTGAAAACTTTCAAGCAAAGAGGTCCACTGTAAAAGTTATTGTAAAACTTATTGTTTTGAATTTTAGTTTGAAATTTGAAAAAATCCCTTCAGAGACCGGGCCAAAGTTTAGCTTTGTTAATATTACTGTGGAAAAAGAACAGGCTTATCAGAACTTGGAGGTCATGAAAGCAATGTATGCGTTATGTTACAAGAGACTGGCAATGCTTAAGTTGCTGCTTTAGGAGCTAATTAAAATCTCATTTCTTCATGAAAGCAGATTCTTTATCCCCAGTATTTCAGTTACTATAGGTATTTGAATATAATAAACAAGATTTCTTTAAAACTCTTCTAGAAATTACACAACTCATTTGCCTACTTATTTTAATTATGTTAAAGTTAGGTTATAATTTTAGAAAACCCAAAAGTAAGAAAATGGTAATGCAGATAGGAATCACCATTTACTGACACATGTATTTTGATTAGCTGTTCTTGTCTTTGCTCCCTCCTATTCAAGTAATGGAAGTTTGCAGCTTTGAAAAAGGAAGCCTGTGTAAATGGTACCAGCCAATCCCTGAAAATTTAATTCAAGATTCAAACACATTCAGGTGGGGACTTGGTAATGGAAGCAGTATTCATCATGGGGAAGAAAACCACAGGCCATCAGTGGACCATACAAAGTAAGTGACAACATACTATATTTTAAACATGTGTCTTAGGAACTAATCATTAAAGCAGTTCTCAAATTTCTGCCCCATCACTTCACCCTAGGCCAGTGCTATAAAAGATGGAAGTTTAATTAACGGAATGGGAGGGCTTAAGTATATCTTTTCATATATAATTGAAAAAAAATAGAGAAAGTAGTGAATGCTTATTTGTAAAGTAGAAGTATTTTTTTCTTAGATTTTTCTTCTTATGTATAACATTGATCATTATCTTTCATGACTAATTAAAAAATTGTAGCCAGCCGGCATGGCTCAGTGGTTGAGCATCGACCTACAAATCAGGAGGTGGCGGTTCGATTCTCAGTCAGAGCACATGCCGTGGTTGCAGGCTCCATCCCCGGTGTGGGGCGTGCAGGAGGCAGGTCATCGATGATTCTCTCTCATCATTGATGTTCCTATCTCTCTCTCCCTCTCCCTGTCTCTCTGAAATCAATAAAAATACATTTTTAAAAAATTTACAGAATGTTTCAGGACAAACAATGAAATAAAAACATTCTTGTAAGGTAATTGCATTTAAAGATAAAATATAATTTGTGTGCTCTAAAGTAACGATTATAATTGAGAAATAGTTTGGGAGAAAACTCTTTACTCTGAGTAATTCTAAAAGACACATAATTTCAAGACACCCTCTAGATTGCCTCATTCTTTGTATAATTTCCAACATTTTTTCTCAAACCTTTTGCCTATGTGTTTTCTTCTCTAATTCTAATCAAAATGACACCTGTCTTTCCATTGGATCAAAACAAAATGTACCAATCTCATTTTTATCTGGAAAAAACAGATATTTTAAAATATTTTGGAATTTAGGGATTGATTATAGATTGTTTTAAACCATTTGACACATTTTCCTTTAGTATTTTGTTTATTTGTAAAGTAGAAGTATTTTTTCTTAGATTTTTCTCTTTATGTATAACATTGATCATTATCTTTCAGGTATAAATGATTAAAGTCCTCACTGTGGCAAATGCACCTACATTCCTGTATATATTATGCATTTGTTTAGGCTTGACATCATGAACTAGAAGTCACATAGATAATGCAAATTGTCTCTTTGCTATAACTGGGCATCTAATAATGAATCTAAGTGCTGTATATAAATGTAGCAGAAAATTTCAATAAAACTGAAAATATTTTAACATGTCCTGGTCTGCAAAAATAACAATTTTCAATGCTTTAGTCTCTTAGGCATGAAATACTAGAATTATTGCTTTCTGTTTTCTGGTAAGAAGATAAGTTAATATTTTATAGGCCAGTTTAGATGCCTTATCACTCTTCCAGCATAATTTTTAAAAGATACAGTTTTATAAATCTTGAATAATGGTTAAATATCAGCCTTTTGAAACAATTTATTGAAATAAAAATAAAACTACATACAGCCAAAATCTAAATTGACCATTATACTTTTCTCTTAACTGGTTTAATACCTGTGAGAAGGGGCATTTTGGCAGTGTTGCCTCAGGACTACATATAATGCATTATTGTGCCTCTAAAGCACAAGAAAATTTGCTTTTATTATAGGTTGTCCTTGAGTTAAGCACCTATTCTTTATATTTGCAAATATACTAATAATTTGTTTTGATTTAGTGAATTAAACCTCTTTAATTTTTATTTTGTTTCAGTGTATTTTAGCTTGATAAGTAATTTTATTTTTTATATTATTTTTTAATTTTTATTTTTTTATTTATTGTCTAAAGTTTTACATA